CGGCGGCGGGGGGAGGGGTGGGGGGTTTTCTTAGGGGGTTGGGGGGGGGGGGCGAGGTTTCCCTGCCGGAGATGGTGCTTTTCCTCTCCCCCTCCCCGGCCTGGGGGAGTGATGGAGGGCGGCGGCGGGGGGAGGGGTGGGGGGTTTTCTTAGGGGGTTGGGGGGGGGGGGCGAGGTTTCCCTGCCGGAGATGGTGCTTTTCCTCTCCCCCTCCCCGGCCTGGAGGAGTGATGAAGGGCGGCGGCGGAGGAAGGGTTGTGCGTTTTCCTGAGCGAGTTGGGGCGGGGAGCATAGACGGGTGGAGGAGATGTCCCTGGGCTGAAGACTGTCCTCTTCCTCCCTGCCCAGCCGAAGGAAACAACTGATTGCGGAGGGAGCAAGTTTTTTCTAAGTGGTGGTTGGGAGGATACTAAGTGTTGAGAATTGGGAGGAGAGGCAGGGAGTCGCTCCTCTCGGCAGCGAAGGCATCCCTTCGGAACAGACCCTTTGCCTGCCTGTCTCTCCTTCTCTCTGCAACACGACCACCAGACCAAAGACTGTCAAGTAAATGCCTCCGGTTGTGGGTCGAGATAGCCCGATGACCCAGAGGGAGGGGCTGGTGCTGCTGTTTTTTTCCGCCGATGCTCTGGCGCTGGCTGGAAAGAAGAGGCCGGGGTTTCGGCTGCGCGTCGCGGGGCCGCAGGAGCTGCGAGGAAGTGTTTGGAGTTGAGGGGGGAGGGGTACTACTTTGCACCGAGTTTTGCGTCCCATCCCCCGCGATTCTGGTGGGGAGGAGGAGCCAACAGAGGAAGAAGAGACGGTGGACGGGGAGGAGTCTGAGCACTAGGTTTGTGTGAAGTGGAAGTCCCAGGGTAGGGCCGTCGTGTTCGATCGCGGGATTCCCCCTTGATAGAGAAATATGACAGCGACGTTATTGTTTTGGAGGGTGTGGAGGGTTTGCGAGGGAAATGAGCTCAGAAGAAATAGGCCGTGGGTATGTGACATGAACAAAAGAAGATTGCATGGAGCAGGGAGGTTGCTTCTCCTGTTAATGATAGCTCGAGATAGGCGGATACTTAGAAGGCCCTGGCTAACGATGGTGGTGGCAGAAATATTGAAGGAAGAGGGATACAGGAGGGGATGCAGTGGAAATGTGTGTACCTGTAGGAGCCCTATGACAAGATGAAAATTATAAAGCTGTTGCTGCTGCTGCTATTATCTTGTCTATCATGTATTTTTTTAGTCTGGGGGAAGGGGGGGCAGTGACAGAGCAAGGACATATTGTGGAATCATATAATGTATGCTGTACGTTGTGGAAGTAAAGAGGACAAACTAGGAGGAGGAAAACTTTGTATTAGGAAAAGAACAGAAGATTGAAGATTTTATGTCTAATGTTGACATCGGATTATGTAGATAGATGGATAAGTATGTGAAGCTCATGTAATTACTGTATATGTTGATGAAATGAGAGCAGCTAGTCCTTGCTTTGAAAAATATCTGAGAGGAGGTAGATTTATGGAGAGCCAGTTTGGTCTAGTGGTTAAGACTCCAGGCTAGAAATCAGGAGACTATGAGTTCTTGTCCCACCTTAGGCATGAAAGCCGGCTGGGTGACTTTGGGCCAGTCACTCTCTCAGCTGTTTGGTAAATTCCTGTCGCAACCAATGGATCAACTAACCCTGCACCTGCAGGAAAAACATTAGGAAGAAAAAAATCGATTTATCAATTACAACTGAGTATTAATAACTCTATTTGGGTCTTGACGAGTAGATATGTGACTGTGATTTTAAGGGCATTGTGGTGCTTACAGCTCTTTAGCAGGAAGGAAAGCTGTTTTGAGAATGTTTAGTTGACCATGTCAGTTTGAAATCATTGTGCAAAGCAAATGCTGAAGGGCTATTTTTCAACAGAAGAGCAAGGGACTAGCATTTAATATCAGATTGGGAAAAAGCAGCACAATCTAGTACTATTGTTGCTTTCATATCATGAAATTGAGAAAGAGGAGGGAATTGAACACTTGGAAACTGAAGGAGGGAGATTTTGGAAGGCAAGCAATTAAAGAGTAAACAGTGAGCTATTCAGGAAAATATGGCATGTCATCAGAATGATCTGGGACCACACAAAAGGACCCTATTTAACCAGGGTTACTTCCAGTTCTTTATTGTGACAGCTGTCTTTTCCCCAATACAGACCCTTCCTGAATTGATGATGGTAGCAGGGAAACAACATGGGAGACACAAATAAGAAAAATAAGGAGGAAAATAAACTATTATCTCTTAGGAATATGACACAGGAATAAATTAAGTGCAACAATAAGAATAATCTTCCTCAGAAACTACAACTCTGAACATTATTGCTTCTTCATTTTGTAGTTTAGAAAGGAAAAATAAAACTAACCAACTGGCATAAAAAGCATTTAGCACCAGATAATAAACCTACAAAATGAAAAAGAATATCTTCGTCCAGAAATTGGCTGTTGGATTAAGACAGGTAAAATTATGTTTTGGTTTTATTTTCCAGCTTTTTACAAATATTTATATGTTGATGCAAGGAACAAATAAAAAGAAGAGACGGTATATTCATTGAATTAAATGTCATATGTTGAATAGCATAGTATGATGTCACTAGATTCAAACAAACTAGTTGGATGTTTGTGGCTAGCAAAGAATAACACCTCCCCCCGTGTAATATTTTGTTCAGTTTTAATCACCTTGCCTGAAAGCTTAAAAATGGGTTGAACTTAAAATCCTTGAAAGAGAGTTTAACTGTTTAAACTGTACCATTTGAGCATTTTTAAATTTGAAATGAGTTTGAGAAGAGGAATATATTGACAGATGTTCTCACTGATGTTTTTCTAACAGTATTAGTGAATTCTAGTACTGTGATGGGTAACCATTATGACTGTTTCTCCTAAGTGTATTGGAAATCAAATATATTCAAATGTGTTAGTCTTACATTTTGCTTATGCATATAATACAGTATTCTTATTTGAAAAAGGATATGTATAGTATGGTTTGGGAAACACATTTATCTTATTAGAAAAGGGAAAATGTAGAAATTGCAATAAATCAGAAAGCTTTATAATAAATATACTGTATATTTATTGAATAAAGTAGGATACAATGAAAAGTTATCAAATACTTTCTGCATAAGAAGCTTCTTTTTATATAAAGAAGGTTCTTATGCAGAAAGTATTTGATAGTGCTGTATAATAGAGTTTTGAAAAAATTGAAAATTCTTTGGAAAATATTTCTATTGTGTTTTTCTGTAGAAAGTTTTTCATTCTCAGGAATATCTTTTATCATTAAATTGCCTAGTAATAGTACAAATAAGCATTATGTAGGCTAAAATGGGAAACTGGAATGGATATAATACTAATCAAATCAGAGTTGTAACATACTTTCTTCTAGAATCCATATTGAGGCAGCACTTCATTAGGACCATCAAAGTTTTACAAAACAGACTACAGTACTTCATTAGATAAAGATGGTTAGAGGTAGAAGGGAAGATGCATTCAGAGAATATGCGCAACACAAATTGGGTAATATCAGGATCAAAAGTAGTAATTTTATCTTTTGGTGAGTAGAAATTAGAAATGGGATCAACCAGGAGTCTTTATACTAATAAAGTTGGAAGTAATTTAAGCTGTTATATTTCTGTAGAAAGCAGTTTTGCATACAGTTCTTTAAGCATGCTAAAATCAATATGTCAAGAGATCGTGCCTCCAATTTTTTCTTTAAATTCTGTGTATATTAAATCTATGTCATTCAGTTTTTGCAAGCATTTCAATGTAAATAATTTCTGAGTAAATCCCTGAATATGTTTGACTTTCACATTTAGACCACACTTAATGCAGCTGATTCCAAATGCCTCCTCAGATCAAAATTACATTTAAGCAGTTTGCCTTTCGGGGGAAACTATCTTCATCAATTTAGAATTGCAGAAAATACTTCAGAATTTTCCAGAAAACATGGAGACTGTCACAAATATTTAGTACTTCATATATGCCCAATCTGACCAATAAAGTATTGCATACCATTATGATGACCAAAGCTGTCTATTCCAGTAAAAAGCAACCTAACAGCAGCTGCAGTAGGTCAGAGTCATAAAGCAGATGTAAGGATAATGCCTCAAAAACATTAATCATGGTTAATTGGTCTTTAGGAGAGTTATTAATTATTTATAATAATGAACAGATGAGATACCACACTATGGTTAAAGAGGAAGAAATCTGAGCACAAGAGGACTGAGAAAGAGAGACCATAAATGTACTGTAGGAGCAAGTTTAATAGGTTTGAAAAGAATTGATGAGCAAACAAAGTAATACTGTTTTGAGAGGAGAGAACTAACTTCAGTGATCTTATGTGAACTTCAAAGTTATTCAGATTTTCAGGCATAGGTGCTAAACGTAAACATTTCATAGTGCTAAGAGAAAGTTGATATATGTCCAGAATATTGACTGAACTTCAGAAGACTTTGGCCTGTAACAAACTGGAATTTTCAGGAAGGAGTAAGGTATTTATGTATGTCCCTTGAAAATAAGAAAGCATCTTGCAAGACGCAGTGGTATTGGATTTTTTTTGAAGAATTCCTATTGTGTGGCCCTTGAAAAAGACAGCGTTTATCACATTGGATTTTGAGACCAGCAGTGACAATTTTATATATTTACTGTGAACAATATCTGCCCTGAGAATTTTTTTCATGAAGAGCATCTCATAAATAGAATATAATAAGAAAAATTAAATGGCACAGATGAGCAGTGTAATAGGAGAGATTGTGCTTAATTTTAAATCACTATACTTGATATATGTTAACATTTGTTTGAACTGGTGTAGTATGAGCTGAGGTATTGAGCTGCTGTTTTTCATACAAACAGTGTGGTGCAAAACTTAAAAGACTGTAGTGTTTATATCAGTGCTTGTACTAAATAACTTCATAGTATTTAAATTTGCCTGCAAAATTTCTGTTTACTGTAGGAGGGTTGGGTTGTTCATGAGTATTTAAATAGATATTTTGGCAGGAAGGAGGACTTTTTTCAATAGCAAACTACAAAACTATGAATAATGTTGATTATTTATAATTTCTCCTCTTCTCTTGATTGAAAAACCAAAGAATTACAGGGTTTGACCAGTTAACAGTAGATTTCTGAAGAACCTAAAACCAACACTGGAACTTGGCTGTGGATCTCTAATTTATTGCTAGAAATTATTCCCTGCTTTGAAGATTTACAATGTTCACCTGATATAATCCTGACAAATGTGCTTTAGCTTCCTGAAATTGTATACAGAGAAACTCAGTGGTAAGAGCCATAAGGCAAGTATCTGATTTTAAAAGGCTGAACTACTGTACAGCAGTTTAAGTGTTTTCCCTTGAAGTTTAATTTTGAATTCCTTGCACCCATTTTTTCGTACTTCTCAGTTTTTCTTTTTTGTCAATATAGATTCTGTCAAGATCTCATGGAAATAGTTATTTGGCTTCTGAAAAATGACCATGGTATCCTACATTGCCTCAACTGCAACTTTACCTGAAATATACAAGATTCAGACCAAACACATAAAACTAGAAATACTTAAAATTGGTTTTAAGGCAGTAGTGGGGGGAAAACCTACAAGCCACATGTGATACCTTTTGCACATTCATGAAATCATACCAGCAAAAGTTGGTAGCAAACTTCCAAACAATAATGACACAAATTCTCATCAGTTTTCAGTGAGAAACAAAAAATAACAAGAAAGACTGCATTCAATACAATACTAAGCATTACTGTGATTTGTTTGGTTTAGATTTAGCTTGTTATGCAAATCCAGATATTATAGTTTATAGCTTAGTACTGTACCTAAATATAATATACCTACAAAGTTTGTGTTTTGTTTTAAGTGAGCAAAACGTTTAGAAAGTCCTGCTGCAGTCATTAGCTCCCTTAAAAAAATGCACTGCAGTCCTCAGGCACTGAAAAGTCCTTAATCCTTATTCTAAAGTAATGGTGGCTGCTATTTTTGTAATAGTAACACTCATTATACTGATTACAAAATGATTTGATATAATTTAATATTTCAGTTGGTTCAGATAATCCTTTCGGTTCTAAGTTTTAAAGATGTTCTCATTATCATTGTGTCACAGCTTACCATGCTTGTCACTACATCCATGCACTTGGGTATGGATCCGTTCATTTCTTTTATAATTTGTTTCCACTGCATCCAGTCCAAAGCAATTGTAGCTAGTTGCCAGTTTCTGCTATACTATTTCCTCCTATGGTTTAGGGCTTCAGTATAATGTTTCTACAACTTGGTGACTCAGAAAAGGTAGATAGTTTAATCATAGGCACTCTATTTAAATGCACTTTTTGAAATTTGGGTACTGTGACTTTTCCCCGCATGATGTCTCCTTATGTTTTGAGAGCTGTGGAATTAGCTATGCAAACCCCTAACAATTGACACAAATCATTTTACTATATCTCCTTAATCACTTGGAATTTAGCGTAAAGTCAATTACTGCTGAGTTTCAGAATATTTTTGTATGTTAACATCATTATCACTTTGTTGATAACATCTTAATTACTTTGTTAGGGGGTATTGCAACATGCTACATAACAGGGGCTTCAGAAACTATGTACCTACATGCTATAGTAAGCTCATTACAGTAAAGATAAACCTCTCCTTTTTTTGTGGAGAAATGAGCAAGTTAGTTTCTCTACCTGAATGAGAGAATGTTACAGCGTCTGCCCAGATGGTGTAGCTTCTGTGGGGAAAGTCACTTTGACTATAGCAAAACAAGTAGGGCAGAGTGTAACTCCATTACTAAATCCTCACGCATATATATTCCCATCATGCTACTCCCTGTCTGGGTAAACATTATACAAAGTAGACAAAAGGAGTAAAATAGTAAGCCAAAGAAATTAGAGTATGAGATTAAAAAAGCAAAAGAAATACAGCTAAATTTAGTTTACATCAACACAGTTTATTATACCACTCCTTACTTTTCTCTTCTTGCAAACCACCCTTGCTTTCACCAAATCCATGTACTGGTCAATGAATTCCTTTCCTTTGTTTAAATTTCTTACCTCTCCTTTTTTGAGGATCTCATGAGCTTCATTTAACTTTGACTTTCTTGGTGTTCCTGTTTCTCTTAAGCCATTCGCTCTTTCTTCTTAAATTTTTTTTTGCAGTTAGATTCTCACTTATACTCTTTGTATGATCACACCATCTCAACATAGTTCTTTCACAATCCACATTCATTTTTGATCCCATCTCTTCTTGCTTTAGTGCATACACTCAAATAACTAGTTCTGTTGCATTAAACTTTTATATTTCTGCTTACATACCCAACACTCACTTCTGTATAATAGAATGGGCAGAAGCACACTTTTATACAGAGCCATCTTTATTTGTATTGTCGAAGGCTTTCACGGCCGGAATACGATGGCTGGTGTGGGTCTTCCGGGCTGTGTGGCCGTGTTCTGGAAGTTTTGTTTCCTAAC